TCAGGAGCTGTCACTGTACCCATTGGTTCCAGGAACATAAACCTGGGCTGTGATCTTGGGATCTGGAAGCTGCCACCAAAATGATTACTTGTGTCTGCTCTCTCTGGTATCCCTGGCCAATAAAAAAGTTAATCTCCCACAAATATCTCTGCCTACCCATAAGTCCATTCAGATTAGGTCTTAGGCAGTGAAGATGATCAGCAAATCCAAGCCACATTTGGAAGCCCAGGTGTGATCTGTGTCATGGGAGAACTAGGCCATGTACTGCATTGTCAGTACCTACCAAGTCCTCCTGGTCCAGCTTGTGGCCTTTCTCCTTCTGACTCAATAGTCCTCTTTATCTTCTAACCAACAACCATGAATTCAGTGAACACCTTTCTCATCCTCTTTACATGTGTGTTTGGCGGCACCCTCAAAATGCAGAGAAATGGGGTGCATGCCTATAATACCAGAGACTTAGAAGGCTGAGGCAGGAAGATTGCAAGAACTAAGACCCTGAAACCATGAGTTCCTAAGAGCCTCACTGAGTTGCTGAGGCTGGCTTTGAACTTTTGATCCTCCTGCCTTGGACTCCCAAGCCACTAGATTACAGGTGTACACCACCACCCCTATTGCCTGCCCCAGCCTTCTATGTCCAATCTCTGCTCCAGCTAAACTGGAATGAACTAGTCATTGCTCTGCTACTTGTACCATATGTAGTCTTGCCTCCAAACTTCCAATGCAGCCTTCCCCTGCCTCAAGTGACCTCCCCTCTCCTTTCCACTGGACAGTGTCTTCTGGTTTCATCAGTTGAACCCATCCTCCTGTGCCTAGATCTTTCTTCCATTACACCAGCCTTTGGTGCTTCTTGCAGTTCTTTTCATCTCAATTCATAATTCATTTGACATCTGACAAATTAAAGCTTGGATCTTATAAATCATACTCTTTTTTTTTTTTTTTTTTTTTGCAGCAGGGCATATGTGACTGCTTATTGAAGTCTCAAAGGAAGGGTCTGCAGTCACAACAAGATAGCAAAACAGACTTTTCCTCCTCTACAGTTGTTCTGGTTGGGTCCTTTAGTCACAGCAGTGAAAAAGCTGACTAAATCAAGCACTTACCAGGAATGGAGTGTGCAGGTTTGGAAATTTCTTGGGGTGAGTCAGTGAGTGAATGCACAGGCCTAGAGCATGACTGCCCACTACCAGAGACTTTATAAATATGGTACACATGGGGCTAGGGGTGTGGCTCAGTGGTAGAGTACTTGGCCCAGCTAGCATGTGTGAGGCACTGGGTTCAAATCTCAGCACTGCATATAAACAAACAAACAAACAAATAAATTACAGGTCCATCAACAACTAAAAAATATACTTCAAAAAGATTTGATACCCATTGGCTACACTACATTTATAAAGTATCTTTTTCTTTTTTCAATAATTAATTCACTTAGCTGACTAAAATTTTTTGCTTTACAAATATTTACATTTTTAATTTTTTTTACTTTTATAATAATAACTTTTAGCATAAAACAAAGACATTGTATAGCTATAAAAATATTTTGCTTTTTATATCCTTATTCTTTCAACTTTTCTATATTTCATAATTAAATTGTTTTTCTTTTTTAACATTTTTTGTTAAAAACAGACTCAAACCCAGATGTTGGCTTAGGCCCACACAGGGTCAGGATTACCAGGATCACTGTTCCATCCCCACATCTTGTCCCACTGGAAGGTCTTCAGGGCAATGATGTGCATGGAGCTGTCATAACTCTGATAACAAGGTCTCCGGAATCCCTCCTGAAGGACCTGCCAAAGCTGTTCTATAGTTAACTTTGGAAGGAGTACACTTTAAAATAACGATAAAAACCATAGTATAAGCTGGGGGGGGTGTACACCTGTAATCTCAGTGACTTGGGGAGGCTGAAGCAGTAGGATGGAAAGTTCAAAGCCAGCCTCAGCAACTTAGTGAGGCCCTAAGCAACTTAGCGAGACCCTATCTCTAAAATATAAAAAATATCTGGGGGTGTGGCTCAGTGGTAAAGTGCCCCTGGGTTTAATCTCTAGTACAGAAAAAAAGTATAGTTAATACATAACAATAAGTAGTTGTTTATTATCATTATCAAGCATTACACACTGTATGTGGTATGTGCCTCATGTCCACAGCCCAGGCTGCAGCACTACCATATACACTTGTGTAACCTGTTTTGCTATCTTATTGTGACTGCAGGCCCTTCCTTTGAGACTTCAATAAGAAGACACATATGCCCTGTCACAAAAAAAAAAAAAAGAAAGAAAGAAAGAAAAAAGCATGGTTTATAAGGTCCAAGTTTTAATTTGGCAAATGTCAAATGAGATGAAAAGAACTGTAGGAAGCACCCAAGGCTGGTGTAATGGAAGAAAGATCTAGGTGCAGGAGGACTTGGTTCAACTGATGAAACCAGAAGACACTGCCTAGTGGAAAGGAGAGGGGAGGTCACTTGAGGCAGGGGAAGGCTGCATTGGAAGTTTGGAGGCAAGACTACATATGGTACAAGTAGCAGAGCAATGACTAGTTCATTCCAGTTTAGCTGGAGCAGAGATTGGACATAGAAGTCTGGAGCAGGCAAGAGGATCAGATTGGCTGGGCACAGTGGCACACACCTGTAATCCCAGCCATTCAGGAGGCTGAGGCAGGAGGATTGTAAATTCAAGGCTAACCTGGGCAACTTAAGGATGCCTTGTCTCAAAATAAATATTAAAAAAAAATTAAAGGACAGGGGCTGTAGCTCAGTGGTAAAGCACCCCTGGGCTCAATCCCCAGTATAGGGTGGGAAAAGAGGACTATATCATGAAAGGCCTTAACTGCAAAGCTAATTCATTTGACTCTATCATATAAGAAATGGGTCCAACCCAGGGCCTCATGCATGCTAGCCAAACACCACTGAGTTGTACCTGCAGTCCAAGAGAGTACATGTCCGTCAGATCAAGTGACATTACCTTAAGGTTAAGGAAAGATTCACTGCCTATTAACAGCCCCTGAAGGTTTTGGAGGATGGATGAGACATGGGATTCTAGGGTCAGCCTGGAGGATGAGGGCTGGAGAGAATGGAGACCAGAAGGAGGAGAGTCCATTGTGGGGGACAGGGCAGTGGCGTGGATGTGAGCAAACTGGGTGGCTGAGGTGGGGAGGAGAATTTGCAGATGATGCCCAATTGCTCACCGGTGACACGGGCACTTAGGGAGCTGGCTGAGGGGTGGCTAGGATGAAGCTGGTTTTGACAAGTTCCAAGGGGGTGACCACAGTGTGTCCTAGTAGCAGGAAGTTGCAGCCTCAGGCCTGAACTCATGGGGACGCTGATTCTGATCTTTTCACTCAGGACAAGTCAAACTTTGGGAGATGGTGACGAGGCTGGCTCTTCTGCAGGAACTGGCTCTCCGACCAGCCGTTCTCATCAACCACCACCATCTCCCTCACCTCAGCCCACCCACCCAGGGGATGTGGGCCTGGGTCAGGGGTTAAGTGGGGACAAATTTCCTTATACAGTTCAATCTTAAACTGACCCCTAAAAATCAGAGATATCAAGGTCCCCCCTTCTCCTGGTTTAGAATCCATGATCCACTCTCATGGGGCTCAGGTCAAAGAATATGGAAGGCAAGAAGCCCATAGAAGGTTCTAGTCCTTATTTCTGCCCCAGACCTGTACGTGACCTAGAGCAAGTCACTCTCTCTCTCTCTCTCTTTGCATTTGTTTTCCTCTCGGTAAAATGCCATGGTTGGTCCTGGACGAGGTTGTAGTTTTTAAATCCTGCTTCTGCAGAACATCGGGGGATTCCATGTTCTGCTTCCTAAACTGAGTAATAGCAGACAGCGAATAGCTTCAATTCTAGGTTTTTCTCCTGTAACAGTTTCTTAAACAGTAGCAACCCAGCAAGGACTCACAGATAACCCTGTGAGTGAATACATGGGAAACGCAACCAAACGGGGCGACCTGAAGACGGGGAATGACATTTGGTTGGACAATCTTGTTTCTGGAGGCGTCATGCTGATGGTTTTTATACTATTCACACTGTTGCTCTGGTTCACAAGGCAAAGTTCCAGGGGCATTTCGGGATGTTCCTAAAGAGCTCTAAGAGGCCCATCCCCTTGCCCACCAGTGCCTGTAACCTGGAGAGATGAGAGAAACTCAACCTACCCAGCATGCTTCAGGGCTAATCTTTCATTTTCTCAGTGATGATGTCATAGCTCCTTAAAGTCAGTCTTTGGGACTTGTGTGCAGAATACTGTGCCTTGGGCTGGGGATGTGGCTCAAGTGGTAGCGTGCTCGCCTTGCATGCGTACGGCCCAGGTTCAATCCTCAGCACCACATACAAACAAAGATATTGTGCCTACCAAAAACTAAAAAATATTAAAAAAAAAAAGAATACTGTGCCTTACAGTAACTCACATAATCTCCTCCCAACAGCCTCATGAGATAGGCACTGTTTTCCTGTTCATTTTACAGATGAGGGAATGAGGTTCAAATAGGGTTAACAGGTCACACAGTAAGGGACAGAGTCAAAATGAAACTTAGCAGTCTGGTTCCAGAACTCACATTTACCCAATATGCCTGAGGTTCACTGTTATTTGTGTTGTCACCAAATATTTTCAGTTCTTTCTTGGGCATGTGGTAAGACTGATCTTCCCTGCCCACTTTGGCCAATCAGATGAGCAGAAGTGCTAAGCATCATTTCTAGTGGAATTTCTGAGTCAGATACTACCACTACACTCCTTTTTCCTTCTTTAACAATTGTAGAAGTACACAAAGGAGTCTCCCTCAGCTGTATTCCTAAGTAATGGTGATGTGGATCAGATCCCTGCCTTCTATCCCCAGCTGGCCTGTGATGAATAAAAAACATTTGGAGGTTGTTATTGTGGCGTAGCCTCATCCATCTTGACCAATTTAGAGCTCCATAGATTGTCTCCTGTTGGTTATCTTTGGTCTTAGCCCTGCAGCCTGCTGTATTAGTCAGATTTTCATTATCAAAATAAAATACCTGAAGGTAGCCATTATGAAGAAAAGAGATTTATTAGCTCAAAGTTTTAGAGATTCAAAGTCCAAAATCAAGTCAGGTCCCCCTGATTCAGCCTCTGAGGAGGATCTAACAACAGATGGGGGTCACATCATGGCGGAAGCGCATGTGTAAGGAAGTATCACATTGCCAAACAAGAAGACAAAGACTGGGGTCCTCCAACCCCTTCTGAGGGCATACCTTCAATGACCTGAGAACCCCCCATGAGATCCCATGTCTTTAAGGTCCACACCATCTCCCAATACCATCACTCTGGATCCAACTCCAACATATGAACCCAAATCATAGCACCCACCTTCTCCCAACTTCCTGAAAGTACTTGGCTCCATATTCAGATTTGAAAAGCAGCAAGAGTCAGTCTCCTAAACATGGCGGAGCTGTGTTTGGAGAGATTTGCCCAGGTCGTACCATCCCCTGGAGCAGAGGTCACACTGAGTGAAATCTCCACCCAGCCCTGGAAGTCCACAGACAGAAAATCAAGCTCCAAGAAGCCCCCAAGCTTCTCTCCCATACTCATTTATTGATTCTCCTTAATTTTATTCCCCACTTTTAGAGAAGGAATGACTGGGATGAAAGGAGGAGGGCCGGGCTGCCACATCCTGGGGACACTGCAGGCTGACTATGACCTTGCAGGCCTGGATCTGAACCTCTTCCTCCGGGTGGATGACCAGGGAAAGCAGCCGGTCTGCCAGTCGTGACTCGTCCCCAAAGAGGGCTTCATGCAAGGACTGTTCATTGTAATGCCATTTCACAGCTCGGTAGTGGGATGCATTCCGGCCCTCACTCAGCCGCTCAGCGAACACCAGTACCTCAAACAGCAGATTTCCTGGCTGTGTGGACTGGAACAGGTTCAGGAAGTCGGAGTGCACCTATGACATGGGAATGGAGAGAGGATGAGTGAAATCTCAGGCAAATTCTAAAATTCTTATTCTTCCATCCTCCTATCATCTCAACTCTCCAATATACCTAGACTCAACTTTAAAAAATTTTTTAGTTTTTCTTTAATTATCATCTTCTAATTTAACTATATTGTGGTCATAAAACATGAATGATATGATAATAATATGGATTCTAGGAAATTTGTTCAGAAAAATTTTAAGGCTTAGTATGTGGTTAATTTTCCTAAATATTTTTGTATGCTTGAGAGGAGTGTAGAGTTATAACTGTAGAGTTCTAGGTGTGTCTAATGGCTTAAACTTATTTGTGTTATTCACATAAGTATATCTTTACTTGCTTTAGTTTTTTTTAAGTCTTTATTTTATTTTTATGTGGGGATGAGGATCAAACCCAGTGCCTCATGCATGCTAGGTGAGTGCTCTCTCTCTGAGCCACAATCTCAGCCTCTTGATTTAGTTTTTTATCTACTGATTACTGATAGAGTTGTTAAAATCTTCCAAATCTCTCACTGTGATGGTAGACTTATTAACTTCTCCTTAGAATTCCATCTAGTTTTGCCATATATATTTTGAGATTATGTTATTAGGTGCATACAAGTTTAGAATTAATTCATCCTTCTGGTGAACTGAACCACTGATTATTATGTAGTAACCCCTTTATATCCTTAATGATGCTTTTTTCCATAAATAATTAATGTAGATATTAAGATATCTACATTAATTTTTGTTTTCTGTGTTCCTCACAGAGTTTAGAAAACCCCTCAAAGGGGCTGGGATGTAGCTCAGTGACAAAGCATTTGTCTCGCATTTGCAAAGCCCTGGGTTTGATCCTCAGTTCCAAAAAGAGAAAAGAAAAAAAAAAGAAAACCCCTCAAAGGAGAACACCCTTCTCAATAGGATGGATTCTAATTCTATTGGGGGAACACAAAAGGAGCAAGTTTTTAGTGCCTTTGGTGCAGAGGCAGGAAGAGGGACAAGACAATTCATCAGGGCTGTTTGTCTGGAGAGTGTAATTGTTCCCTCCCTTCTACCTGAGCTGGCATCCATCAGCCCCTCCCTCTTCAGTTGCTTTTGTCACCTGGCAGTTGAGAATGTCATAGAGAAGGTCATTCTTCTGTGCCAGGTAGCTCATCAGTCGCAGGGCTTGTATCTGAATAAAGAAAAGAGTAAAGCACAAGAAGGGGGATGAGTCTGGGCCTCGGGAGGGAAGACCTAAAGCTCTGCTCTTCCCTCTAGGTGCTGGTCAAGAGGGCAGGGCCTCAGTCATGATCCGCAAGCACCTGTGCCATGTTACAGTCTGACTGCAGGATTTCCATCAGGGCAGGCATCACCCGCCGCAGCTGGGGATGCACATAGTCAGGCAGCGGAAGGTTGTTGAGGAGTCTGAGGCCAGAAATGTGAAGCTCCGAGTCCCAGATGGTAGAGACCAGTTCTAGCACTTTGATGGAGTGTTCCTGAAATGGGAGAGAAGAAATGGATCTGCTTATACCTGGTGCCTCCCACCGCCACCCCAGCTCGACCCCTGCGCCACACCAAATAGTCGATTCTCTCTCCCACTTCACCCCCAAACTTCAGTTGACTTAGTTGAACACTCTCGCCCCCTTGGAACTCTCTCTTCATCTGGTTTTATTTCACTCTTCGTTCCTAGTTCTTCTGCTCCATCTCCTCTCTTCTAGCTCTGTCCCGCGCTCAGTGAAATCATCCAGGCTCAGTATTCAGTGCAGCCGGTGACTTCCAAGGTCAAGGTCGCACCTCCAGCTCAGACCTTTCACCTGAGATCCAGACACACACCCAGCTGCCAATTTCCCTTTTCTCCCTGGATGACTAGCAGACTTCTCTGAGTCAACACCTGGCTGCGTTTTCCAGCAGATCAACCCTTGACTCCTTTCTCTCTCTCTCTCACCCCTTTTCCAATCCTTCAGAAAATCCTGGGGAATCTACCTTCAGAATCTGTCAAAAACCAAACCACTTACCACCCCCACTTCTACCACCTCCCCCAAGCCACCATCCTCTGTCACCTGGATTTCTGCAATAGCTTCTCCTCTCCCTACTTCCATCCCTACACCCCTGCATCTGTTTTCAGAGCAGCAGGCATGTTACACACGTCTCTTCTCTCCTCAAGAGTCCCCATTTCACTGGGCACTCTGGTGCATGCCTATAATCCCAGTGGCTCGGGAGGCTGAGGCAGGAGGATCCCTCAGCAACTTAGTGAGGCCCTAAGCAACTCAGTGAGACCCTGTCTCTAAATAAAATGTAAAAAAGGGCTGGGGGTGTGGCTCAGTGGCTAAGCACTCCTAGATTTAATCCCTGGTACCAAAAAAAAAAAAAAAAAGAGCCCCCATTCATTCAGGGCAAAAGCTAAAGCCCTCACAGAGACATGCAGTCCCATGCGATCTGCTCTTCTCTCCCCGTTATTTCTTTGACTTCACCTTCCGTTTTCTCCTTTGCTCCCGCAGTTCCCACCATAATGACCTCTTGGCTATTCCTCGGATGTGCCAGGCACACACCATTCTGAGGGTATTTGCAGACACTCTTCCCTCTGCTTAGAAAGCTTCCCCCGCAGCCACTCAGAACTCATGCTCCTCCCTCCTTCAAGACTCTGCTTAAATGTCACCTTCTCAAGGAGATGAACTGACCACCCCCATCCCGCCTTCCCTCACCCTCCGTCTTCATTTTTCTCCATCACATAATCATATGTAATACACTTCTTATTCTTAAATAATTCCAAGTTATTTATAATTAAAAACTATTTCAAAATAATGAGAGGACTCCTGTGCTCCTCATCAGGTCTCTCAACGGATCCATCTCACACAATGCTAGTGCCCCATAGAACTAGGAAATTGGTATTGGTCTAATGTGCCTGCTTAGCTCTGTGTCATTTTATCACATGAACACATCCGTGTGATAGCCACCTGTGGCCCACAGATTATCCCATCAGAACCATCCTGTCACCACAATGCTGGCCTCATGGGGCCCACTGTCACCCACTTTCCCAATCCAAACCCCTGGCAAACACTAATCTGTTTTCCATCTCTACAACTATTTTGAGATTGTATAAATGGAATCTTACTGTATGTGACCTTTTGAAATGGACCCTTTTTCAATCAGTATAATGCCCTGAGATCTACCCAAGTTCTGTGTAGCAGTAGTTCATTCCTTTACATTTACTGAGTAGTATTCCATGGTATGGATAAATCGGTTTGTTTAGCCATTCAACTACTCAACACATTTATCTGCTTTTAGATTGGGACTATTACAAATAAACCTGCTATGCACTTCCAAACTCATCCTATGAGGCCAGTATCACTCTGATTCCAAAACCAGGCAAAGACACACCAAAAAAAGAAAACTTCAGACCAATATCTCTAATGAACATAGATGCAAAGATTCTCAATAATATTCTGGCAAATAGAATACAAAAACATATCAAAAAGATTGTGCACCATGATCAAGTGGGATTCATGCCAGGGATGCAAGTTTGGTTCAACATACGGAAATCAATAATCATTACATCAATAAACTTAAAGATAAAAACTTAAAGATAAAAATCATATGATCATCTCAGTAGATGCAGAAAAAGCATCTGACAAAATACAGCACGACTTTATGTTCAAAACAACTAGAAAAACTAAGGATAACAGGAACATATCTCAAAATCATAAAGGCTATCTACATTAAGCCTCAGGCAACATCAATCTAAATGAAGAAAAAATTGAAAGCATTCCTCTAAAAACTGGAATAAGACAGGGATGGCCTCTTTTACCACTTCTATTTAACATGGTTATTGAAACACTGGCCAGAGCAATTAGACAGATGAAAGAAATTAAAGGGATATTTTTAGGAAAAGATGAACTTAAATTAGCACTATTTGCTGACATTATGATTCTATACCTAGAAGACCCTAAAAGTTCCACCAGAAAACTTCTAGAACTAGTAAATGAATTCAGCAAAGTAGCAGAATATAAAATCAACACCCGTAAATCAAAGGCATTTCTGTACATCAGTGACAAATCCTCAGAAAGGAAAATGAGGAAAACTACCCCATTTAAAATAGCCTCAAAAAAAAAAAAAACTTGAGAATTAACTTAACAAAAGAGGTGAAAGATCTATATAATGAAAATTACAGAACCCTAAAGAAAGAAGTCAAAGAAGACCTTAGAAAATGGAAATATCTACCTTGCTCTTAGATAGGCAGAATTAATATTATCAAAATGATCATACTTCCAAAAGCACTATACAGATTTAATGCAAAACATCATGGTATTGTCACCAAAACAGACTGGTAGACCAATGGTACAGATCAGAGGACACAGAGATCAACCCACAAAATTACAATTATCTTATATCAGACAAAGGTGCCAAAAACATGCATTGGAGAAAAAAGACAGCATCTTCAACAAATGGTGCTGGGAAAATGGGGAATCCATATGAAACAAAATGAAATTAAACCCCTATCTCTCACCATGCACAAAAACAAACAAACAAACAAAAAAACTCAAAATGGATCAAGGACTTAGGAAAAAAATCAGAGACCCTGCATCTAATAGAAGAAAAAGTAGACCCTAATCTCCATCATGTGGGATTAGGCCCCAACTTCCTTAATAAGACTCCTCTGGCACAAGAATTAAAATCAAGAATCAATAAATGGGATGAACTCAAACTAAAAAGTGTCCTTTCAGCAAAAGAAACAATCTTTGAGGTGAATAAAGAGCCTACATCTTGAGAGTAAATCTTTACCCCTCACACATCAGATAGAGCACTAATCTCTAGGGTATATAAAGAAATCAAAAAGCTAAGCACGAAAAAAACCCCAAATAACCCAATCAATAAATGGGCCAAGGACCTGAACAGACACTTCTCAGAAGATTATATACAATCAATCAACAAATATATGAAAAAATGTTCATCATCACTAGCAACTAGAGAAATGCAAATCAAAACTACTGTAAGATTTCATCTCACTCCAGTCAGAATGGCAGCTATTATGCATACAAACAACAATAAGTGTTGGCAAGGATGTGGGGGAAAGGTACACTCATACATTCATATACTGTGGGTAGGACTGAAAATTAATGTAGCCAATATGGAAAGAAATATGGAGATTTCTTGGAAAATTGGGAATGAAACCACCATTTGACCTAGCTATTCCTCTCCTTGGTCTATACTCAAAGGAATTAAAAACAGCATATTATAGGGACACACCCACTTCAATGTTTATAGCAGCAGAATTCACAATAGCTAAACTGTGGAACCAACCTAGATGTCCTTCAATAGATGAATGGATAAAAAAAGTGTGGCATCCATACACAATGGAATATTACTCAGCAATAAAAGAGAATAAAATCATGACATCTGCAGGTAAATGGATGGAGTTAGAGAAGATAATGCCAAGTGAAGTTAACCAATTCTGAAAAACCAAAGGTCAAATGTTTTCTTTAATATAAAGAGGCTGAATCATAGTGAGGTAGGGAGGGGGAGCATGGGAGGAACAGACAAACTCTAGATAGGGCAGAGGGGTTGGAGGGGAAGGGAGGGGGCATGGGGTTATAAATGATGGTGGAATGTGGTGGTCATTATTTTCCAAAGTACATGTATGAAGACGTGAATTCCTGTAAATATACTTTGAATACAACCAGAGATATGAAAAATTGTGCTCTATGTGTGTAATAAGAATTATAATGTATTCTGCTGTCATATATGAATTAAAAAAAGAAAAAACCCAAATAAAGCTGCCATGAATAACTGCATGTAGGTAGGCTTTTCTGCAGATATAAGCTTTCATTCCTCTAAGATATAAGCCCAGGAATAATGTAACCAGTGGTTGGGAAAATGCACTTGTGTGTGTGTGTGTGTGTGTGTGCATGCGCTGGGGATTGAACCCAGGGCCTTGTGCATGTGAGGCAAGCACTCTACCAACCGATCCATATCTCCAGCCCTAGTTTTCTTTTTTAATGCTGTGACTGATCCCAGAGATGCTTTACCCCCAAGCTACAGCCCCAGTCCTTTTTATTTTTTGAGACAGGGTCTCACTGAGTTGCTGAGGCTGGCTTCAAACTTGAGATCCTCCTGCCTCAGCTTCCTGAGTCACTAGAATTACAGGCATGTGTCACCACACCTGGTGCATATTTCACTTTACATTCCTATCAGCAATATACGAGAAATCCAGTTTCTTTATGTTTTTACCATCATTTGGAATTGTCACTAATCTTGATTTTTAGATCTTCTAATACATTAACAATCTCACCACTGTCTTTTTTAAAAAAAAATTATTTTTAGTTGTGGATGGACACAATGCCTTTATTTTATTTATTTTTATGTGGTGCTGAGGATTGAACCCAGGGCCTCACACATGCGAGGCAAGCGCTCTGCCACGGAGCCCCAGCCCCAGCCCTCACCATGGTCTTAATTTGCATTTCCCATAGGCTAGTATTATGGTTTAGATCTGAGGTGTCTG